GTGACCCAACTACTGAGTGAAACAATTGTCACATTTTGACAATGGTGCCTTCACTTTCTTCCTCAAATGCTTATTTTCTAGTGTATTYATTGTAAGTTGTCTCAGAAAAAGAACAGCTCTTGCTCTGGTACTTGTTTTACATCTCAAAAGTACTTTTAGTTTCACAGAGGAACTTGTGCTGCTCTTGAAGGTGCAAACTCCTTGCTGATATTCAGATAYTTAACAACTTCATCATGAATCTTGGTAAAATTTAAGCTTGTAGATGTGCCGTGCAAGCTGAAAAATGACATCTGCATTATTATGTAAGGTGTCCATGAGAGCAATGTAACACCCACAGGCAAAACCTCAAGCTGTCAGGTAACTCAAGAGTGATGATGTAAGCTCTCCCTTTAAATTAATGACACTGAATTATCAGAAAGAAAGAACTGCAGTTGGATTGGTGAAGGAATAACCCTAGCAACGTGTACAGATTTTTTAAGGTGATCAATTTACTTTTCCCATAAAACCATAGAAGTTGTGCTTTTTTATCATTAAAGCAAAAGCTGTCCTTTCACATCTAGCTCTCTTCAGGATCTGTGACAGTTTTCTTCTTGCCCTCTAACATGAATCTGTTATTAAGTTATTTCTATTATGACAGCTYGTGGTGGGAGCCGTATTGGTCCCTCATGGGGTCCCGATCCATAACTAGAGCGCTCCAAAGTGCAACCACAGTGCAAATAAATAAATTCCACCTCTACCTAGCATTTCTCACCCATTGTGACTGTTGAGTTGCCATAGTCAAAATGCCAGATAATTTTGCTAGTGGTTTGTGTTTAAAACCTGTCAATATATAGCCCTAAGAAGTGGAACTGTTTGGAAGAAAATGGAGGCTTTTGGGCACGCAGGATTATATTGCGACATGTTCAGGTCTTGGGCAGATGGAGGGTTTGGCGAAAGGCGGCTGAATTCCAGATGCTTTTCTTGTGCTCCATCCTAAGCAAATTAGTAGTAATATTGTTGACTGTTCTTACTGGAAAACTGATACGCTCTTTTAAAAAAAGTAAATATTTCATATTATTGTAAAATTCGCTAAATAAGAAGTGGGATGGGAATTGAAGTGGATCTGAGCCTCAGGAAGTTGTTTCTCTGGAAATCAAGAAGATATCTCCATAGTCTTATCTAGAGAGAACACAGAAATTATCAAGGAAGATAGAAAATAAAAAAGGGCACTTAATACCTTTCTGAGTTGCAGCAAAGTCTCTTAGGCCCCTCTAGTGTCCAGCTGACAGCAAAGGCTCACAAGAATTTTATTTATTTGCTGCATTCTCCAAGTGAGCTGTGAGCTTCTTGGTATGGCTCTCTTGCATGTTWCTGATCTTTCTATCTTCCAGAGCTTCTCAAAGAGAGAATTCCCTGTTTCTCTTGAGAGGGAAGGGGAAATCACATTGCTCTTTAAAAAAAATATAACATATGATTGGAATCATAATAAATACCAGCATTTCCCAAATCAAATTATTTTTTGTGTTGTTTGTGATTAGTTGGTGTTTTCAAGAAGCTGACCATAATTTGGTTGGAGAGGAGGGGATGGGGACAGGACATCTAAGAAGGTAAAAATGAGGCCCGATAACCAGTTTTAGTCATCTCCAGACAGGACTCCTGATAGACCAAGCACAGAGGATTTGTATTGATCAAGTGCTGAAGGACATCGACTACACAGCTTCTTATCCAAGTTTCTTCACTTTAATTCACTAACACCTTCAGGTAAGATAATCTATGTATTACCTTTGTAGCTATAATAAAGATAAATGAAGTAAGTGTATTTGCTCTGTTAAAACTTTAGCATAYGCCTTTACACACCTAAAGCCCATGTGCCAATGTCACTTAACTATTTTGAGTGGCTGATGTACCCATCCCACATCTAATTTATGTTTCTTGATTTGTTAAAATCTGTCTTTACACGAGCAGCCTTCAGGTGGTGGCATTGTTGAGGAAGATTTCATGTGGGAACTGGGGCAGTGGCCAAAAGGGACTTCAAAGCACCGAAGTGCAAATGGCCACTCCTTGGTGCTCCAAGAAGAAATGGAGCTGGTGGCAGTGACTGTCCTGATACACTGTGGGAAATAAATGTGCTGTGCAAAGGGACCACAGAGGGTGGTGGCAATGTCCCAGAGTACTTGTCATCTTCATTGAGCCTCATCCCAGCAAAACAGTAMATTTTTAAAACAAAGTAATACCAGTCTTGTTTTAGACTCAGTTGATTATATCAATGTATCTGTTTTTTCTCCTTCCAGAGACTGACTTGAAATATATTTATCCAACAAAAAACATGCAAGATACAAACAAGTCGTCTTTGGGACGATACTTTCTTGTTGAATTGGTCCTTGAATCTACCATATGTTTTAGCACTTCCTATTTTCTTTGCGTTTTGGTTGCCTGACATGAACTGGCTCYCGAGTTTATCTGCAGGTGTTGGTAGGTCTGGCTGTAGAAATGAGGCTAGGCATCAAATACATGTGTATGTGTAGCACTATATTTTTCTTTTTGGTAGCTATATTTCTTTCATAAATACTCTTATGTATGAGCTAAGCTCATAGGAATCCTCTGCAAATACRAATGGAAAATCTGGATTTGGAATGTAACAGCTGCTGAGTAGCACGAGTAGGTCAGAAAAGCATCATTTTAAACTAATGGTGGATTTAAGTATTAAAGTGTATTTTCTTCAGGATTATGATTTTAGTAATATTTATTTGTAGCCAGGAATTCCCTTTTTGTTTCRTATACATGTTTCAATCTTTTAAGCTTTTCTATGTGGTTGAAGGTTAAAATATTCTTATGGAAGTTGCTGCCCTGCCTACTGCTGTACTTTGTTTTATCTATGTTTTAATTTGGGGAAAGCAGAAGCTCTCAATCTGCCCAAATGTTCTGAGTTTTTGTAATAGGTAGGACTAATGAAGCTACAGTGTTTTTTYCTGTCTCTCCTGGAGGTTTCTCATGATTCAAATTGCTTGTTGCCACCCTTTGCACCTCCCACTCTTGTACTTGCACTTTTCTAGACAAGGATGATTGGTATGCAAATTGAATTTATCTCTGTGTGGTAGGAGTGCTGGAAATAATAGGACAACTCTTGTGTTTGTATGAATTCTAATACTCCATTTTAGTTACGACTTCTCAAAATACCCAGATTCCCTTCCTAACCTAGTACAATGTGTTTAGAGCTCTATAGGGTACAGGGTTCAAATGTTTTCTCTGAATTGTATTACTATAAAATCTGACATGAAATTCATCTGCTCTTGTGATACTTCCTCGTGTGTTCAGGTCTGCATGGCTCTGCGTAGGCACCCAAGGTAGTTTTTAGGAAGTGCTCCTGCTGGTAGCAAAACCCAGTTGTGATGGATTAAGGTGTCACACGGTGCTCTGTGTAAATCTGCCTAAGACCCAAACTAGCCCGGGATACAGTAAGGTGACCCACTGGTTTTAGTGGCAAAGCCAAATTAAACTCTTCTCTAAGCTGTGATTCATTGCTGCCTGTCCCTAAACAGCTGTTTGAGATGGTACTGGATGTAACAGCACTGAAAGACTGAGAKGTGCAGAACTGGGGACACCACAAATTGCTTTGCTGCTGAAACCAGTGTACCTCATTTATCTTGGAGAGGACTGGACATTAGAAAGACCCCATGTCTGTCACCTCCATAATTATTTGTCACATACCTATTGCATTGTTTCTTCTCTTGATGAATGTTTCTAAGATTCTCCACCTGAACTTTAAGCCATAGTTAAGTATTTGGCCACGACAAAAATATTGCCATATAATTGATTTTTCTTCTGCTGTTCATTGATACATTCCAGCTTACTAGTCTGCATTTTTTGTTTTGAACCATTAAACATCAGAACCCATCCAGACAGTGCCGGTGCAGAGTGGGAAGATGTATAGACTTAGCTGTACTTGAAAATAACACYCTTAAATCTACAGTTACAGAAACTGAGTGGTTTTCCAATGATCACTACATAGAACTGCTCCTGGAGAAACCATCACACCTGCAACCCTATGAAGGACAGCTCTCTAAGGGGCTTAATTCTAAAATCCATTTTGCAGTTCTGCCTGCATCTAGGGGACACATGAAAACACTGTGATTCTGAAGGGTGGAAATTTTTTTAGAAAAGTTTAAATTTAAAATGTTGGCTAAATGGCACTGAAACAAAATCTATTTCCAGTTCCCATATTTGGTTCAATTGTAGTATTTGCATGGTACAATCCATGTGAGTACTGTTACTGAACTCTTTGAGGTACAAATGAATTCTGGCTTTAGGAATGTGTCAAAGCCAATAAATCCTGCAGTGACAAATATCCATCAGTGATGAAAGTATCTCTCACTTAGAAATACTTATCAGTATGGAACATCAATAGTTCTTGTATTTTCAATTAAACTTGACAAACTTCTGTTGTGTTGCACATAGAAATAACATGTCTGAAAGAGAAATGAGAAAATGGAGATTAAAACTGACCAATGATCCTAAGGAGAACTCATTACTAGAACTGAAACAGTAGTAGAAGAAACTCTCCTTTAAATACTTAACCAGGGAAACATTTTCCCTGGGGTTTAAAAATCCTTCTGCTACATACTTAGGAAAATTACATGGAAACAGTTTCATTGCTGGGAACTCCATTTATATTCATACAGCAAGGCTAAGGGGAAATTAAGAGAAAAGTTTTTCCCAGAAACAGAGCACTAGGAAAGTGATTATTCTGTTGGCAGGAAGGAGAGGCAGCGGGAGAATGGATGCAGCATTTCTGCTGCCTTGTCAAACCAGAATGTCTTCAGCAAACAAAGGAGATCATTCAATCAACTGGCTTTACCAAAGAACTTGGGACACTTCACTTTTTTTTTTTTTTTTTTTTTTTTATTTTTTT